GCCGTCACCCAGCACTGGGGGGCCAGGCCAAGGGCGAGTCACCCCACCTGGCTGCTCCTTCTGACAGAGAGAGAGTGTGTGTGACGTGTGTTGCTCAGGGTACCTTCCAGCACACCCTGTTTCCAGAGGAGACGCTGCCTGTAGGTAGCTTCTTTGGCCCCACAGTACCCCTGCCCTGCTATGGCTATGGAGCTGCCCCCAGGCCCCCCCCCAACCCCCCTCCAGCCCTCCTGTGTACAATGAGCCCTGCAGCCTAGAGATGCTCTATTCTCTCTCCATCCTTCCTGCCCCTGGCCACTCCCAGAGCCTCCTTAAGAGCCACCTGCCTGGGGGGTTCTCCTTAACAGCAGCAGGACACAAAACAACTAAAGCTTTGGTTCTGTTTTGTCTAAAACTGGGACTAAATTCTTGAGGATTCAGGCAGGGTGGAATGCTCAAGTTCCCTCCACCAATGGTCTGAGCATAAAATTCCCTTCAGTACAATACGATCAAGTAAATGGACCTTTAGGAAGTGTCAGAATTAGGAAAGACGGCAAGACTAAGATGCTCCCAGACTGAGTTGTCAAGTAGAGATGGGTCAGGTGGGGTGTAGTACTGAGGACCCCCACCACACTCCCCCATGCCCCTCTATTGGGGCTGATGTGCTTTCAAGCGCAGACTCCCTGCCCAGCCTCTCATCTGCCAGTCTGCCTGCCTGCTTAAGACAAGCTTCACCTGAACCCTCCAGGCTGCGCAGCCGCCAAGCTTCACCTGTCCAGAACTCTCGTCTTCCTGTTAGACCACCCAGCACTCCCTCCCCCTTCACCAGCTCCTCCAATCCTAGCTAAGGCCACTCCCCACAGGCTGGGCCCGGCCTCCTGGTGCCCTGCCTCACCCATGGTGGCTCCTAAAGGTTACCGTGTATCAAACAGAGCGGGGCTGTTTTCTGCTTCACAAGGCCAGCCACCTAATTCCAGCCATCTTACGCACAGCGACCAATATTACAATGGCCCCTGTTCTGGAAGTAGATTGCTTTCCTCCCAGCCTGTCTCCTCAGGCCCCTCTGGGTGGGCTCGAACCTCCAGCCTTGTGATGATAGTAGCTGAATGTGTGAACCACCTGTGGCTCTGGGGATTTTCGGGCACTCACATTCATGGAATGAATGAATACATGAACTCAATGTGACATCCACTGGAGCTCGTTTCTGAGTTCAAGTCCACATTCCGATGCCTGCTTCACTCAGAGCAGCGTAGCGCTGGGCCTCCGCGTGCGTGTCTGGCGTCACTGGGCAGTGCTTAGCTCTGCGACTGGTGGCCACCTCCCAGCAGACCTCACTCAGTGTTGCTGCAGCCCTGAATTTGCAAGTGTGGGTTCTTATCAGACAGGAGTGGCACAATCCACGAAGGCAGGGACCAGAGTCGCAGGTGGTACTGGCGACCACCCAGGAACCATGAGGGGTCTACAGGCAACATCCGATGGTACCTGTCACCCTGTCTCGGTGACAGGGCTGCAAAAGGGGCTTCCCTCCCCAGCAGCAAGCTCTGGCCGGAATGTGGCCCACCCCCTTTCAACAAGCAGGAGTCCAACCAGCTCTGCATGTGGGGCTGGGGAAGCCCTCTGCTTGCAAGCTGGTGGGGTCGGGCAGGTGGTGGCCCCTAGCTATCTGGCCAGGCCAGAGTGCCAAGTAAAGACCCAGGGTCACCAGAAAGGGTCAATCAGCTCCTTGCTCCTCTAAGGGGCTGAGATTTTAACTAAAGGGTGGAAGTCTGTCCTGTCGGGCGAGAGCGGCCTCCCTAAGTTCCTCCCTTCATGCCAATGTGGCGCAGACCCCGAGCGCTTCCACACTCCCCACCCGTCTTCCCCATCACTCAGAACAAGGCCCGGCAGTGACCAAGCACAGGGCGGCCTAGAATGAGCCCCCAAACAGCCAGGCCATGATGGGTAGCAGGATTAACAACACAGGAGAGCAAGGATGGAATCATCTGGCTTTATTGAGCTGCTGGTCATATGATGAAAGACCTATATGGTACAAAATTACAGCAGTTTAGTTCATTATACAACACAAAACATCTTTACAATGAATCTGGGCATTTAAACTCCCATTTATGATGTACCAAATCATTATCATCCCCACATCCAAATCGCTTCTTAAATAGGAACCCGTCATATATACAAAAACCCACATGTAGCTGTTACAGGGCTCTCCGCATGGTACCAGCAGCCCCATGGGAAGGCCCGGTGGACTCAGGAAGTCGCGGGGGTGGGGGGTGGGACCGGTCTGTCCGCATTGGGAAGCCCGGCTGTGCGCCCACCCCTGGCAGGGTAAGGCGCCCGCAGGCAGGCCATGCCTCCCCGGGAAAGGGGGCTTCGCACCCAGGGGCTTTAAGTGGGAGATCACCATCACACACGCTGAAACGCACAAGGGTCTCCTCCATCCATCACCCCCTTGCTGCCGCCGCAGCCCTACGGCCCCCCCACGCGGCCGGAGCAGAGGGAAGAGCGGGGCCCAGGCCCAAGGCAGCTTCATCCCAACCCCTGAGAGGCCTGAGGGGCTCCAGCCATGGGAGACAGGAGGAGGGTCAGGGCCCAAACACTGCCCGCCAGGCATCCGCACTTTCCAGGCCGCCCCGCACCCCGCCGGACAGGAGGGCCCTGGGGCCGCAGGAGGAGGGGGAGCTCTCGCCCAGGGGCACCCCGGAAGCAAGCCAGCTCAGGAGAGCCCTGGGCGGGCTGGGCTCTCGCCTCGCCCCGGGACCCTGGGCGCAGGGGCGGACTGTTTCCCTCAGAGAAACCTGAGCCTGCTGCTGTGCTTGCTGCCCCATGGCCGGCAGGCGGGACAGCTGTGCGCAGTTGGGTCCCTGAGCACTAGGCCGAGGGGGACACGAACACCAGGAGCCAAGGCTCCCGTGGGGTTGGGGGGTAGGGTGGCTCGGGGAGTCTGAGGAAAGGAAAGGACCTGGTCAGGACGAGCAGGGCTGCGGGGGGCTGTCCCCCAACACCTCAACCACTGGGGACTGCCCAGGGACAACATTGCCAGGGCCAGCTGACAGAGCTGCTCCCTGTCCATGAAAGTGGATGGTGAAACCATTGAGTCTGACACCCTCCCACCCCATCCAGCCAGGGAAGGAGCCAGGTCTCAGGGCTGGTGGGAGCCAACGGGAAGCAGGAGGGGCCAGGCAGCGCACCATGGGAAGGGGGCAGTGATGGTCCCACTGCCCTGATGAGTGTGCGCAGAAATTCTCGCACCCAAAGCCAACTTCACAGAGGAGGCCTCTGAGGAGAGGCTGATGGGGCCGGGAAGAGGGCAGGGTGTCCCCAGAGTCCCGCAGGAGAGGTGGGAGCATGCACTGCACGCGTTGTAACTTTTCCTGGCTGGCTTCTTCATTGTGAGACGATCCCTTCTCTCTACAGCCGTGGGTGTGGGAAAACACAGCTTCTGAGTGTGTCCTGACTCCACGAGGGCACAAGCACCCGAAAGTGCGCATGATCCGGAGGAAACAGTAGCCGGGGCAAAGCCCAAAGAAAGGCCAGTAAACCTCAAGATCAGACCATCCTATCTGGAGCGGCACACACTAAGAACAACTCCCATAAAACCCACAAGGGAGGAGTCGGACACCCAACCCAGGCAGGCAGGGCACCGTTGGGAAGGAGGGCACCCGGGCAGGCCTCGGACCTCAAGGGGAGGGAGATCACTGGGCACGCAGCCTGTGAGGGGCATCAAATCCCTTAAGAACTGGGATTTCCTAGGGGCGTCTTTTTAGGGTGTCTCTTTCACTACTACACAAAACTAAATAGCAAGGTGCCGTGTAGCCCCTGCTCGGGGCTGGGCTGCAGGAGCGTGGCGTGAGGGCAGGCCCAAGGGCCCAAAGGGAGATGGGCAGGGCCCAGACTGAGATGCTGGGTGCCTCGTTTCTTTTGGAACATAAACAACAGTACTGTGTTGTCCCAGGACATGGGCCCGGCGGCATACATGCAGTTTCCATCCTGTCCACGACACTGAGCCCCACCACACCTGTCTCCACAAGTCAGCCCTCTGACCCCGGGGATACCACCAGGAACAGGTACCTCGAGACTTGTCCTCCTTGTCCCTAATGGATGGCCCATCGGTCAGGGCCAGACTGCGTTGTGAGGGCAGCCACGGGGATAGTGGAGCAATCCCAGCCTCTGCAGGGCCACGTCCCAACCCACCAGGCCTGAGCATCAGTGGGGGAGTCGGCCTCTGTGCCAAGGACCTTCCCAGAAAGCCAAAGTGCACCGAATAAAGTAGCGGGAACTGCCTCTACATTCACCAGCACTGACTACAGGCAGACAACCACACAAACTCCCAAGTTTCTGCTTTCATTGTAAAGTAAGGACACTTGTGTGTCTGCATTAGTGGGCAATAAAGGAGGGGCCAAATCCCCTGCCGGCTTAGCTCCGTGTGGCCATCACGGAGCTCTGCCTGTAGCGCCTGGCCGGGCCGCAAAGGCAGGTCCTCCGGCAGAGACGATTGTGGCTTGCAAAAGATTTCAGATTTTGAAAAAATTAACATAAATAAATATGCTCTTGTATTCTGGTTAAGGGAATACATGGAAAACATAAAGAAGTGTTCCAGGTTTAAAGGCCATTAAACTCACACAAAAAAACTTTAAAGACCCTGTTAAAGGCTTTGGGGCAGAGGAGGAGGGCTTGGCCCTGCAGGCCCCTCTGGGGCACAGGAAGGCAGAGGCACTTGCGGGCAGTTGTTACTTAGGGTGGGAGGTTTGGGGAGAGGGGTTAGAAGAGGCCTGAGGACCATCTGACTGAGGGTCCACGCCCAAGGTCGAAGTCGGCTTTTAGGCACAGGTGGCACTAGTCATGATTCTTTTGTAAGTTAAGAGATGTCAAGGGGTAAAAAGGCCTCGTTGGCCAAGGCACCCAGGCAGGCATGAGAGGCGCAGGGCGTAGTGTCCCCAAGACCTCCGCTCCACACCATCCAGAACCTCAGGGGCTCCTACAGGCTGCCCTGCGCAGAGGCAGCCCTTCCCAAACATGTGGGGGGGGGAGGGGGGCGGGGGAGAGACAGACCCCCTCGGGAGTCCTGGGAGGAGCAGGAGTGGTCACTGACCCTGCGTCAGGTGGAAGCCCTCATGCTGAAGCCCTCCTCGGGCCGCTGCTCCAGCCCCACAGGCTGCCTGGTCCTCGCGGGAGAGGCTCAGAGGGGGCGTCTTGGTTAGTGTTGCAGGCAGGCCTCAGGGACTGGAAGAGGCCTTGGGCAGGGGGCGGGCTGTGCGGGGTCCCGGGAGGTGGCCTAGCTGGCCCAGGACTTGCGGTTCTCTGCGCTCCGCTGGCTCCTCTCTGCCCGCAGAGTCGCACCACCCTCGGCTTTGGCCAGCGCAGTCAGCGAGGCCAGGTTGGTGGCGGAGCCGGAGAAAGTGGCGCTCCTGCGGGCCTCGGGGACAGCACCCTGCAGCCTGAGCCCCGCGCTGCGCCGCCGAACCGCGCCCAGGGCCCTCCGCACGCGGCTGGGCTTCACCAGGAGCCCATAGCCCGGGTTGCACTTGAAGTACTGCTTCCCACCGATGGAGCCGTCATTCTTACCTGGAGGGCGAGGAAGAGATGGCCACTTAGAGGTGGGTCAATGAGGCCCAGCACCCCCACCCAGCAGCAGTGGTTACCAGGACACACGCCCAGCCCCCCTGTTCTGTGGCCTCCTAAAGCCTGTGAGGCTAGTGTTCTACCTGGGCCGTTTCCAAAGCAACAGGGGCAGGGAGCTCCCAGGGCAGGGCTGGCACCAGGTACCAAACAGAGGGGGCTGAAATGCATGCGCAGGAAGGATGGTGTTCGCAGGCAGATTTAAATGACCACGTGGCAAATGGACCTGTCTCATGCTAATGTGCCAGGCCAGGGTGCCTCCTGGAAACCAAACGGAAATGGAACACAGAGCACAGGCGGTGTGTGCTGGGGGTGGGGAACCTGCTCTTTACAGCTACAACCACCTAGTCTTCCAAGCTCAAGGTCTAAATCCTCTCCCCAAAGAATGTGGCCCAACTGCCCCTCCCATATCTCTCCCTGCCAACCAGAGCCAATTACCATACTGGATTCTGATCTCAATGAGCCCGGGCTGGAGCAACAGTAAAGCAATCTTCTGCTAACCCAAAAGGTGGGTGGACTAGAACCACCCCACCCCACCTCCCAAGTCGGCTTCCCAGGTGACTGCAGACTTGGACACCACACCCTTGGGGTAAGCTCTGCTCACCCACAGAGCGGCACATCTCATTCCACCTCTCATTAACACTAACAGGAACTCACTCCCACAGGAGCAGGTGCCCCTTGGCCCCTGGCACACACTGAAACCCTCGGTGGGCTGGCCACTCCTCACCTCACCTCAACTACACCCTGGTGGGGCCCGGGCCAGCAACCAGGCCAACCCCCTCCAGCTTCTCCGGCTTCCATCCTGCTGTAGCCCCTTGCCTGCCTCCACCCACGGATCTCCTTCACAGCACGCACTGGTGCCTGAGCCGCGCTTGCTTACTCCCCTCTAAAACAAAACCGGGTGACTGCTCTGCTCACCAGGTTCACGAAGTGACAGGTACATAGTGGGTGCTTCAAAGTTATTTATTGGAATCATTGGGTTATTTGTTTATTCCCCTTCAAAATTCTTGAGTACAACTGCAGATGAAAATTGCTTTCCCAACTCCCATTAGCATTTTAATAGAAATGAATTTTTTTTTCAAATTCTAGCTTTGCACAATAATCTTCTAGATATTCTTGGCCAAAATTATGCCTAATGGCAGTGCCTTCACTGCTATGCTTCTGACTCCAGACACAGGGAGTCACCCATGACCCAGCATCTGCAGCCCTGGACCAGAGAATGAAGGCTTCCGTCCACTCCTGAACGGGAAGAAGCAGCCATTCCGGAAATCTCAGCCCGAGGGACAGCAACTGAACCAACCTTCGCCATCAGATAGTGGGGCTTTCCTCCAGGTCACTTTCCCAGGGCACACTGCACCCAGTGCCACCGCCTGCCTCAGGGCTCGTGGGACCTCCATGTCCCTAGGCACTGAGTCAGCTTTTGCTGGCTACAGCCTGCTCTCTCCCTCCCTCCCACTCTGCTCTCACCAATTAACACTCCTCCCCAGATGCCAGGCCACTCACACCCTCCCTTAAAACCCAGCTCCCCAGCCTTGAGCCCCAGCTACAGGGGAGGCTATTGGTGCCCTGGATCACAAGAGGCCCAAGAGGAGATGTTGTTTACTGTCCTAGTCACCTACTGGGTGCTAACGCGTCACCTTCCCTTACATCTCCTCTTGAGGAAGAGGATACTAAGGCCGTCAAGATGGATTAAATGCAAGATAAAAATCTATAATGAATCAGCAAAATTGAGTGTGGTCAGAATTGAGGATGGTGTTACAGGTTAAATAAGTCAAGAGGACTTAAAAACACCCCTGCAAAGAGGAGGTTAACACACACAAACCAAGCAAGTATCAGTATGCAAAAGCAATGACCAGTCTGACGATGACAATAGGTAAAAATTCCAGTTATAATAGCATCTAAATGAATAAAATACCTACCAATAATGAAAATTATAGATCATTACTGGAAAAAAATTAAACAAAGGAAGTAAATTAAAGAAGACCTAAATAAATGGAAAGACATTCTATACATTCAGTGCCTTCTCCTTCAAAATTCTAGTAGCTTTCTTTGCAGAAACAGAAAAGCCAACCCTTGGACTTATATGGAACTGCAAGTGAACCTTCATAAGCAAGGTGCCCTTGAAAAAGAAGGAGAAAGTACGAAGACTCCATTTCCGGATCTGAACACATGCACTGTGTAATGGCAGACCGAGGAACCATCAGCGAGCGTTCAGAAACACACTCACACATCTTCGGTCACTTGATTTCCAACAAGAGTGCTAAGTTCATTCAGTGGAGAAGCAATTGTCTTGTTACCGATTGTGCTGGGACAACTGGATTTCTATAGGCAAAAACATAAACTTGGACCCATACCTCACACTATAAACAAAATTCAACTCAAAATGGATCAAGAACCTAAAAGAACTGCGGCCACACAAGCCTTAGAAGAAAACATAGGCGTGATGTTTGGGGACTTAGTATTTAGCAATTCTTAGAGCTGATACTAAGGGCATGAACAACAAAACAATAGATAAATGGAAGTTATCGAAATCAACAACTTAGAGTTATCAGAGGACTTTTATTAGCAAAGTGAAAAGACAGCCTACACATTGGGGGGAAACTAATTGAGTGCCATGATGATGAGGCTGCCCGCTACCATAAACAATTTAGCTTACTAAAAATATAGGGTCACCGTGAGTCAGAAGCAACTTGATAGCAGTAGGTTAAGCTAGGTTAGCTTATAAATCTTATAAGGATTCCTGGTGGTGCAGTGGTACAGTGCTTGGCATCTAACCAAAAGGCCACAGGTTCAAAGCTGCCAGGCAGATCCAGAGCCCAAAGCCATGGCAGTCTGTTGCTGTAGAGATTCACAGCCTTGGAGACTGATGACTGCCCTGCTCTACCCTTTAAGGTTGCTGCGCGCAGAATAGGCCCAATGCCAGTGGGTTGGGTATACATCTTGGGTGGGTTTAGTATCCAGCAGAGATAAAGAAAGCCTATGGCTTAACACAAAGATAAACACCTACTTAAGAAAGGACGAAGAACCTGGGGAGACATCTCTTCAAAGAAGACATATCAATGGTCACATGAAAAGTATTCAACTTCAGGTTCAAAACTTGATAAAGTTTTTCATCAAAATAAAGTGTCTGTGTGCTTCACATGATACCGGCTGGTGAAGGAGCCACCCACAAAATGGGAGGAAACATTTGCAGTCACATAGCTCCTAAGGAACTTCTAGATAGATTTTTAAAACTCTTCAGAGTAAATAATAAAAAGAAATACACACCACTTAAAAATGGGCAAATGTTTTGAACACACATTTCTCCAAAGGAGACAGATGATGGCCAGTAAGCACATGAAAAGATGCTCATTTCATCAGAGAAATGCAAATCAAAGCCAAGTGAGACACCACCTCACCAGCTACTGGGCTGACTCTAATCAAAACCCCTGGCAGGAAGCGGTGTCATCGCAGATGTGCAGAAAGTGCTGGTGGGAATTGAAATGGTGCAGCTGCCAACAACAGTTTGGAAACTCCTCACAACACACCACCGATTTAACTCCTAGGGATATACTGAAGAGAAGTGAAATGTACAGGCATAAAAAATGTGTACACACGTGTACACTGAGCACAGATGAGCCCCACAAACATCAGCTCCCATCAAAGAAGCCAGTCACAACAGACCACGTGTTGTGTGGCTCTTTAAAAAAAAAGACCTTTACAGGCAAATTAGAGCCACAGAAAATAGATTAATGTTTGCCTAAGACTGGGTGAAAGGGGCCCTGGTCATACAGTGGTTATGCATTAGGCGGCTAACCACAAGATCAGCAGTTTGAAACCACCAGCTGCTCCATGGGAGAAAGAGGAGGCTTTCTACTCCAGGACAGAATTACGGTCTCAGGAACCCACAGAAACTCACCCTGTCTTATAGGCTTGCTCTGAGTCAGAGTTGACTCGATGGCAGTGAGTTTGGTTTGGCTTGGCTTAGTTTGGAAGACTGGGTGAAAGGAGCCTTGGTGTGTGGTGGGTTAGGCATTTGGGCTGATAACCAGACAGACGAGGCTGTCTGCTGCAGTGGAGACAGACAGAAGAAACCCACGTAAGGTCCCGGGGAGTCAGAATGAACACCATATAGTGGGTTTGGTTTGGAGTTTGGGTAAGGCTGAGTGAGCAGTGACTGCTAATGGGCAGGAGGTGTCTTTTGTGGGGGATGAACTTGGTCCAAATGTAAAATATGGTGAAAGCTGTCCAATGCTCTCCAGATATACAAAAAGCTACTGAAAATGGGGAAGTTTTATGGCATATCTTCATAATACCATGAAAAAAACCAACTTTTTTTTGAACTCCTGAAGGACAAGATATTTCCTGAAGTTCTGCCCCTCAGTTTTTATGAAACTGGTGGTCTATTGCTTTTCAAATCTACCGCTCCATAATGGGAAGTGGAGGGTGGCCAACTGAAATGTCTCCTAGAGCATCGTATCCAGAGGCTCCCAGTCCTGGGTCAAGGGACCCCGTCTGCCTCTCGGGAAGTGAGCACCATGTGCGCTTCTGTTTACGACCTGATCTCCAATGTCAAATAAAGCTGAGCTCAAATGTGGGTGCTTCTGTGACTAAAAGTACATTGAAACTCATTATGGAATTTATGCTTGCCTTTAGTCACTGGCTTAGGTTTCTGACATGTGCCTAGTGGTTCAAAAGGAGACTTAGTCTTAAATTTGTCTGTGAAAATCCTTAGTTTTGAAAAGTGGGGACACTGAGGCACTGAGAAGTCACCAAACTTACTGGCAGAGTCTGACATGAGGGCCAGCTCTCCTGAACCCAGCCCCACAATTTCTCCAAAGACCCCATGAACAGGCCACGCTGCTGCCAACACCGAGCATCTGCTTCAAACAAGTATCGCTCACCTGAAGGTAAATCGAGCTCTACTCCAATCCACGTTCCCTCCTGAAAGTCCGTCGGTCCAATGTACCTCACGATGCCCATTTTGTTCGTGCCAACGGTAACATATTCTCCCTCTTTGAGCCACTCCGGGACTTCACTGGCTTCTTCAGAGTCTGACGTAACGTCCAGTTTTTCTAAAGCCTGACCCCCGGCGATGTCACCTAAGCCTCTTGAGGCGAGCTGCTCCTCCTCAGTGCCCGAGGAGCAGCTGGAGTCCCCGCCAAGCATGCGAGAGAATGACTTTAGCTCAGAGGTCCGCACCTTCTGGATTCTGAAAGGAGATGCTGGTGTAGGCAACTGAGATCGGAAATCAGGAGACACATGTGGCTTGGAGACGTTTGGCTTCACTGGCTCCTCTGGGCTCCCTGGTGACTTGGTGGCAGAGGAAACTGTCCCTCCAGTCTGCTGGCTGGGTGATTCCTTTTGGGGGGCAGAACTGGGAAGACACGGGGGTATAACAATAGCGAGGGAGGATCTTGCCAGATCTTCACTCTGCTTCTCGGAGGAATGCGATTCCCTGGCCTTCAGTGCTCCATTACTATTGCACTGAGCAGCAAGCTTTGGTTGGATTGGCAGTGCTGGCAGGCTGGTCTGGTTCTCTAAAGGAGCAGGAAGGTGGCTCTCTGCGCATGACCCGGTAGATGGATATGGAAGGTCAGACTCAAGTGGGGCCTGGCAGATGGGAGTCGGAGGAGAGCTGGGCACGGTTTGGGAAGTGCCATCAAGGCCACTGGTGAGTGCATCCGAGAGAGTGGCTGTGGAAACGCTGTGGGAAAAGTAACCACTGGAGGCTTCACTCAAGGGGCTGGGAGGACCTTCTGGAACTTCCTGGACCTGCATGTTTGAGAGAAGTGAATGCTGGGAAGGCACTTGAGCTGGCTTGTCACAGATCTTCACCACAGAAGGAATGTGCACAGTCACTCCGGGTGTCTCGCTCACTCCCACACTCTCCCGGTGAACCTGAGACAGAAAAGTGGGCAGCATAACTATTTAGAACTTAAAGTTAGGGATTTTCTTTCCAAAGAACTGGAAATGAGTATGCTGCTAGCAGAAGTATGGCTGTGACAGTGGAAAGAGTGGAGTAAGACAGACTTGGCTCTGAATCAGTTCCACCCGGTATTTTGGTGTGACCTTGGCTTTCCAGGTACTCAAAGCTGACTGCCTCCTATGCACAGAGCAGTCACTGTGCTAGGTGCGGGTGGTAGAGTCCCCAGACAAAATGGACAGAGTCCCTGCCCGCTTCTTCACTTGTGCAAACAAAGACCCTGATCCCTACTACACAGGCTTCCTATGACAGAACAAGAAGTCAAACTCTTACTATGGACTACGGTGCAGACCCGAGTTTTCCCTCCTCACCCAGTACCAGCCCCCCACCCCGCCTCGGGCTTCAAGCCCGCTCCGGGGAGACACAGAAGTCCTGCCCACCACAGACTTCACAAGGAGATTTTGAGAATCATTTGAAAGGCCAGAAGAGTTCTTTTCTGCGGCAAAATTTAAATGATGATCTCATCAAGGACCTGCTTCATCGGCTCACATACATGCATGCAAATGACCTATGGGCAGCTGACTGACTGGCCGTGCCTGGCCAGGGGTCACGCAGAAAGACCGGGAAGAGGCTCCTTGTGGCTCCGCCCTGCAGTGCTTGGTCCTCTCTGGCCTGCTTCCACTCAGCCTGCTTTTGAAGGCTGATTCCATGTCTTGAGTCAGGGGTCTCTCAGATGCCCGGGAGACGAGGGCAAACAGTAGACAGCCTCCTGGCAAGGTGCAGAGTGGGGGACAGGCCTGGCAGCCTGGGGAGGCTGCCCCTTGCATATCAGTCTATCTGTGAGTCACTCTGGCAGGGCACACACACACACACACACACACACACACACACACACACAGCCCCTATTTCATCAGGGGAGATGACAGCCACCGTTTATCCAAATCCCACTGTGTCT